ATGAGTTTGCATCTCGAGTGAAAAGTTGTTTTGAAGGGAATTCGTGAAATGGTCTCACGAAAACTCGAACGTGAGTTGCCGCGGAGTGGAGTGGAGATTGTTGGACTGCTCGAGCACCATCCTCCGTTGAACCGGTGCTTAGCTGGTTTGTTTGTGTGCGCAGGGCAACAATGGTGACCGGAGCCACTTGCTGTCCTCCAATCAGCTTCACTCACCGGCAAGCATGTGAGGCCGGTTGGAGGTGGCCAATCAAATCGTCGGATGAGGTGTATAGAAAGCGATGACGTCTGTCACAACGCGACGGGTTCATCGCAGTCGCAGGAGTTGGTAGAACCCGACAGTCTCCATTCGGCGGCGCTGCTGTTTCGCTTTTCTGTGACGCCATTTTACATATTTGCTCCAACCAAAGTGACGCCAAACAATGCATGCACTTTTGTTGTTGCTACCTCCATTTCTGGTGAAAGTGTTTTGATGAAACGATTCGAGGGAAGACGACCAGCAACAGATTCCTCTTGACCAGCTGTCGATTGGCGTTGCTGGAGCATTCATGCTGATGCTGTTTCCGAGGCAATCCCCCTCGGTTCCGATGAAAAGGGGCTAAGCTTCGGCCAAACACTGTCACTCGAAATGGAAGTAAGCACAAGAATTATGAAAGAAGAGGCTCCTCGAAGAACAACTTTTTTTCGCAAATAGTCTTGTCTGTATGTGCGTGTCCACGGGATTCGGTTGCTATTACGCCTCGAAGACAGCCTCTCAAAATGTTTCCGCTGGTCTCTTCACGTCTGTGCCTCGAAGATGCCTGGTTGTGTGTGTGTGTGTGTGTGTGTGTGTGTGTCAGGCCCGGCGGTGGTGTGCTGCAGACTCGAGGCGACCGCACCGGTGGTGTCGTGTTTGTGGCGACGGGCACAGAACACGCTGTCGCCGGCGCTGGGAGGCACGGCCGAAAGAGAGCCGAGGGCTGGTTGTCGGGTGGACGAGGTGAGAGAGCGACAGGCTGGTGTGTCTGCCCGGTTCAGGCACAGACGAGTTGAGTCGAGACCGTCGGCCAAGGAGAGGGGGGAGGAGGAGGAGAAAAAGGAGAAAAAGGAGAAAAATGAGAAAAAGGAGAAAAAGGAGAAGGAGGAGAAGGATGAGGAGAAGGAGAAGGAAGAGGAGAACGAGGAGGAGAACGAGAAGAAAGAGGAGGAGAAAGAGAAGAAGAAGAAGAAGGAGAAGGAGGTGAAGGAGGAGAAGGAGGAGAAAGAGAAAAATAAGAAGAAAAAGGAGAAAGAGAAGGAGGTGAAGTAGGAGGAGAAGGATGAGAATAAGGAGAAAAAGGAGAAGTAGCAGAAGGAAGAAGAGGAGAAGGAGGATAAAGAGAAGGAGAAGGAGAATTAGAAGGAGAAGGAGAAGGAAAAGGAGGAGGAGGAGAA